AGAAAATGCTATTCTTTTAGAAAACACAAGGTAGAAAACATTCAAACTTCTTTTAACTGAAGCAACTTCTAATTCCTGTAGGTCTACATGTATCTCAATCTGCTAATTTCTATTATCCAAAGTGGATTCTACCTCTAGGATAACTTTTTTTCCTGTTCCTGCTTCACTCTGATGCAATGAGCCCCAATATTAACCATTAGGACAGAAATTCTCCTCTCAATGTTTGTCTTGTCTCATAAAAAATATCTCTCCTTTCTGCAGATGCCACAGAACTGAACCACTGAAGCCTTGCAACTGTATATAATTTTTGTTTTTCATTTTTGTAAATAAATCTCCGTTGAATTAATTATTAGTGCATGTCAGAAAACTTCCTGAGAGCCCTATGATTATTTTACATATATGGTGATTTGTCCAGAGAAGAATGGAAGCTGGAGCAACATTGTCTGAAAGCCAATTTGTAAATAAGGTGGTTGATTACCATAGAGGAACCTGAAGAATTTCATTTTTTGTATTTTTGTAATACTTATTAAAGTAGGTCTGATTCTGATTCTTCAACAGGTTTTTACTCTGTATCTATCACTATGTCCTTTTTTGCAGTATTTTTGGTGCTCAGACAGGTTCAAGTGAGAACTGTTCAAAATTTTATCAGACAAACTTAACATCATAACATAGCCATAGTTAAAGTTCCTCATAACAGGGTAATGAAGAACTCGAACTATGGAGACAAACAGTTTATGTGCGGTAATGGGGGGTTTCTTCATGAAACAGGAGCTCCTACATTTAGAGGCATAGATGGCTGAGGTTGTGGACATCCCATAGTCCTCTGGACTTTCTCTACCACTACCTGCAGCTCAATTTTTGTTCATGCTGAGTAACTGCTGTGCCACACAGTCATGCAATTTTTTTTTTCTTTTGCACCAACCTTCCAGATGTTCAACCTTCTGCCTGTAGTATGTCCCGATAAATCCAATCACAACATTGTCCTCGATTTCACAAGCATACCTGGGCTTGTCATCTGCCCTATGACCTTAATGTTATATCCATGTTTGACCTCTGGTGATTCTGTAATCTTTTATAACGTAAGAAAAGTAACAAGACAACTCTTGTGGTAAAGAATCAGAATGCTGGGGACACATAAAATGTAAAACTTCAAAATTATCTAAAAAAAAAAATTATATATATGTTTTAATTCTATAATATATCAAATGCAGTTATTATGTTATGTAATACATATCATATCAATATTATTATAATTATTTCATGATATGTCACTGCATATACATTTTTTACTATATTGATAAAAGTATTCCATTTTAGAAAAAGATGCTTGAAAAAACTAAACAAGTGATCTTACATAAAACCCTAAAAGTTAATCAGTGACAAATGCTGTAATCAACTATAAACAGTAATGTTTACTGAAATATTAGAAACCTCATATAATTACCAGAAAAAAACAGAACACCCACAATTTAATCAGATGCAACGAGAAACGTTTAAGTAGTTTATTGGAATATAAACAGTTCTGCATGTCGGGGGGAATTCACTAGAGTCAGCAGTCAGAACTTCTGGAAGGAGATTTAACAGTTTGGTGACCAGGCAGAAACAGAGGACAATGTTTCTAGTGTTTTATCCTGGTTCACTAACTCTCTAGGAATTTGGGGACAAACTTTGAGAGTTTCTGAAGAAGTCGGTTGGTGTGTGACGTCACTGGTGAAGCTCTGAAGATTCCTTAATCTGTCCAGGTTGTTTTGGAGGAATTCTACTTTGTCAGTTACTTGTTGGTCCAGGGGAATACACAGGGTCTGATCCTTGAGAGCAGAGACAGGCAGAATGATGAAGGGGACAAACCAGAGTTCGGGATCCGAGAGCCGTTCCAGAGACAAACCAAGATGATCTGAGATCCAGAGAAAATCCAGGGGAGAATCCAAGAGTGAGGTCAGGGCACAGAAAACAGGTCAAAGATCCAAAAACACACTATGACAGGTTCAATAGGATTCAGGCAGGCTCAGATAATCAGGAGGCCGGATCAGGTTACAGAAATGCTGGACTAAACTCACAGATAGCTTGTAATAATCTGGCACTAGTGATTGGTGTTGTCAGGGTTCTGTCCTCCGTTTAAGTTTATTTTTAGTTTCTTTGTATTTGTAGTTTTTTTTTCTAGCAGTGTTTTGTTCTTGAGTTCTCTCTCTCTTCCCCCCCCATGAGTTTATTTCCTTTCCCTTTGGCTTCCTTCTAGGTGCTTTCCTCCACACCTGTTACTTGTCAGCTCATTAGTCCAATCTTTGTTCTGTCTCCTATATATACTCTCCCTGTCCAGTTCCTCAGTCTTTTCCTGGCTCCTAATGTATGTTTTCTTGATGTCCAAGATTCAGGGGTTTTTTTGTATTCGTTTTTTTGGATTTTTAGATTTCCGCCTCAGTTGACTGTCAGTATTTCATTAAATCGGCAAGACTCATCACTGCCTACTAATCTCTGCATTTAGCTCCTCAAAACCTCAACAGTGACAGGTTTAGGGCGACAGTGGCATCGGTACAAGAGTTTGACTTGCAATGGGAGGGTTGTTGGTTTGAGCCCAGACTCCGCCTTTCAGTGTCTTTGTGTCCTTCGGCAGGACATTTCACCTGCATTGCCTACTGACGTTGGTCAGAAGGCCCGGTGCGCCATTGTACGACAGCCTCGCTTTTGTCAATGAGCCCAGGGCAGCTGTAGCTGTGAGTGTGTGTGGGTGAATGACTAAATTTAGTGTAAAGCGTTTTGGTCATGACTCCTGACTTGAAAAAGCACTATATAAGTACAGGCCATTTACCATTTGGTCTGAAAGCTGGTTATATAGACAGGTGAGCAGGTGAATGTGATGGAGGCTGATTGGAAACGGGGCGGAGCTGACAGGTGTGTTGGATCGTGAATCAGACCAGCACTGGTGCCAGTAATCATGACAGTTTTTAAATGTTATATCTCCATGATCAAACAATATTATATTTATATTTATATATATATATATATATATATATATATATATATATATATATATATATATATATATATATATATATATATATATATATATTGATTACTTATTTTCTACCCCTAATTTCTGTAAAATATAACAGACAGACAGACAGATGCAGATGCTCACTGACTCCGTGGTGGAGGGTGCATCGAACTCTCTTTGCCTTTAAATAAACGTACAAAGACCAGATCAATTTTCCATAATAATAGATACATAAGTTGATTGATTAATAGATTTCACCTTTTAAATGCTTCTCTCCTTGGTGGCAATTTGATGTTGAGTTGATATAACTATTGACTTGCATCTCTTAGTTTTCCAAAAAACAGTTTCAATAATGTTCAAAAGTTTGTTTTTTTATTTTACTCAGTTTGTTGGCAAATATTTTTAGGTTAAACAGCTGTGTGATAGTTTGATCTGAGAAGCATACAACACTGATTTTCTGAATTTGAAGAAGTGGCTTTTTTTTTCTCCCTAATAATTGATCTTGGCTCAGACGTGGAGGCAACATAAAAGCTAAAAAACTTGGGCTGAAAAATACATATCTGATAAATTTCGTCTAAGACAGTTTGTCACTATTCATTTATATTTCTCAGTAAGGCCTGAGTTGCTGAATGAAAATGAGACCCTTGCGGGTCTGCTGTCTCTCGATGTGTAGAAGCTGCTTTCTAAAATTTAATTCAGGGTCAGCTCAAGCCTAAGGCAAACTGTAAATATCAGAAGTTGGACTGCTTTCAAAAAAAGGGGGAGAAATCGCTCAGCTTTTGGCTTTATGAGCCTACTCAGACTATTGCATTAAATCTCTCAGTGATATGTTTGCTGTCTTTAAGGAAAAAAGACCTGTCCTGGAATGTAGGTGGGAATATGAAGCAGGATGAGTTTGTCAACTTAAATTGAACGCAACAAAAATGCCAAACTTATACAGACTAAAGTTGATGGTTAAAAAACTCTTTGATTTAAAAAAATAAAAATAAATCTGGTGGTTTATCCATCAGATCAAAGTATTTTGAAGAAGGAAAAAAGTATGTACTCACTTGCAGTCTTTGCAGTTTTGGGTTGAGTCTAGGGCTGAAACAATTAATCAAATTAATCGATTATTGAAATAATCGCCAACTAATTCAGCATTTCATTAATCGTTTACTGGAGTATGGAGACTGTAAAACCAGCCTTCAGCTGACAGAGGAAATAGCTTAGAGCAGTAATCTTATCAAAATTGTTAATTTAAAAAAATTATATAGATACAAACATTTTGCATTTATGATTTAAAAAATGTTTTTGCCTGTAAATATGCTCTATCCTGGATCCCTCAAGTGGAAACATTTTAGTTTAATTTCGTAAAAAAGTCTTCTTTAATTAAGGAACCTTTGGCTATCTGATTAATAATCGAATAATCAAAAAAATAATTGACAGATTAATCAATTTGCAAAGTAATTGATAGTCGCAGCCCTAGTTGAGACCGGTTCAACCACAGGTCCAACAGTTGGAAAATTGCCCCCTTTCATTCAACCCAGTGATACTTAAACATAACTGTTGATATCTTGAGCGAGATATGCAATAAGATTTCAGTAGAGCATTTATGTTTGTATATTTATAACCTTTCAATACCAATGTGGTTAATAAACACAGTACTGCACAGTTAAAAAGACAACTTTAACATTCAGAAGAGAAAATATAAAAACTCAATACTGCTCCTCTATAATTCTTATTCATTGATTCTGTTATCTTATTTTGTTCTTATTGTGGATATAAATGTTAATTCAGTGACTAATTTAATGTGTTTCATTCCAAGTGATAGCAAAGATTTTTTTTTCTTTATCACTATTTTAAAATTCATTTTCTGAGACACAGGACCATAGTAAGGACTTCATACATAGGGTACATAGGTACTGAAGATATTAAGCTTCAGCCAGAATTATAGTCAGTGTATACCAGTACTTTGAACACTTGTATATGTGGCGATTAAATCATTTAAAAGATGTTTTATCATTTTCAGGTCTTATGGTACTACAAAGGATACTTGACACTGCAGCAGAGCGCAGTTGGCAGGTCACCTCGGTTAACTTGGACACAATGACAGAGGGGACCTTCATCAAGATGCTGGCTGACATTGACTACAAGAAGGACTTTCAGATCATTATTAACTGTGAACTGGAGCGCTTGAACTACATACTAAACCTGGTAAGATAATGACATATTCACAAAAACCTTCCAATTATTGAAAGCTACATAAAACAAATTAGTAAAGCAAACAGCATGACTCAACCGCCCTACTTTCCATGTATATAAAACTTTTTCTTCATAGAGGTTAAACCATTTATTGTTCTTGTGGCTTGAGGCTAATTGTCATATTTGACTTATTTTTCCTATGATCTTTGCCACCTAATGTATTTGGTCAATAATTATGATTCAGCTCCAGATTGTCTTCACATCCTTGTATTCAGGAATTATATAAAGGAGAAGAGACCAGAACAACTTCTAGAGAAAAAAGCGAAGTGCAAAGAGCTGGCAGACGGCAAATATGTCATCATCTCATAAAGAATAAATTATAGATGAAGTTAATCTACCAGCATGTTTTCTATTTTGTAATGGTTTAGAAAAAGCATTTTGGGCAGATTTTGTGTTGAGCTTCCCCCTTCACATAAATGTATTTGTGTCACTTAAACAGCCAAGCATATAATGTTGACTCGCAGCTGTAACACCAACAGAGAAAATACATCCCCTTTTTAGAGTTTTTTTTTTTAATAAGGGACAAAATGTAGTTGGGTGTGATCTGTGCCATGTTCAGAATTTGTTTAACGTTAACCTCCAGTGTAAAATACACCAAAGTGTATATTGCCATTTTTCAAGCATTCCCTTGCTGACTCTAAGGTGTTTGATTGGAAAATAGCAACTCGGTGCTACAAGTTAATAATAAACTTTATTAGCTTATCAGTATGACCACTTCTACTATAGCAGTTTCCTACTTTTCAGTTTATGTGTTAACACATTGACTTAGCAACAACCTTGGGGAACAGATTTTAATGCACCTGTGTCTGAAATATTACAAAATATTCCCTGTAAATTCAGTTAGTTCATGGCATGCAGTAATCACCTTAACAACTGTGGTGTTAATAACACCACTGTTTTTCATCTAAATCTATATAACTATATCCATTTATATCTAACATTAGCTATATATCTGATAGATATATAGATATATACATATCTATATCCATATATATCTAGCATTATGTAACATGCGTTTTCCAGCCATAGCTGTGAGGTATATGAGGGTAATCAGTGTTTACAATTATGCCTATTTTTATCACCACTCCAAATTACATGGTGCTGCATTAAGATAAAATTGAAAGGGTTTTACTTTGCAATTACCACCATTACAAAGTATTATCAAGGCTTGGTAACTGTCAAACTATTATGTACATTAGAAAAGAAATATTCTAATACATATAAAACAAATTCTAAAAATCAGTTATTTCACACAATTTGAAGCATAGTCTATTAACCTAGAGCAATATGCATGGTATGGTTGTTACATGTCAGGTATCCCGGTCATTGACCTTGACCATGACCAAGGCACCTTTCAGTAGAACTGCAGTCAGTCCCTGGACTGGCATGGCTATCACTGCTCCTAAATAGTTAGGGACAAATGCAGAGGACACATTTCCCACTGGGATCAGCTTCATAGTCATAGTAGGCCACTTCTTTGATTTTATTTATTTTGCTCAGGCTACTAGTAAGCCTGCACCCCGCCAAATGTTAAAAGGGGAATATCATTGCCATTATTCTTAATATATAGTCGTAATTTTACACTTGAGTAAGAAAATGTCACAGGGGATGGTCATTTAAGAAGGGGCATAATTTTTAAAGATTTTTTTTAAGAAGGGGGATGGCATCCCCCCTCAACTCCAGTACTGTATATACTGTATCCTGATGGTGGTTCAGTTATTCACGTTGTTGCATTACATCAAGAAGAACCAGGGTCAGAATCTGGGCCTGGGCTCTTTCTAGATGGGGTTTTGCATGCTGTCCTAAATTTGTGTAGCATGCTAGTGGTAGTGCATGTGTGGGGTCTCTCCAGGTACTTTTACTCCCTCCCAAAGTAAAAAAAATATGGCTATTTAAATGGTCTCTCTAAATTGGCTTAGATTTCAATGATTTAGTTCATAGTTGTGTGACGTAGTGTTGGGCTGCCAACATGTAAGAGGGTGAAACCTGTCTCTTACATAATGACTGCTGTAGACAGGGAAGGATAAGAAGGTAGGAACAATGGATGGGTGAATAGTTCATGTTATTTAGAAGTAGTTAATAGTTATTAGTTAGTGAATCTCAAAAAAGATTCATGCAAGATAAATGCAAGCAGATCAATGCAGCAGTGATCTGATGACCCTAAATCATAACCAGAATTAGAGGAGGCGTTAATATTCAGCAGCCCAGACTGGGAAAGCCAGATGGCTAGAAAAAAAAGGTAGAATTCAAGTATTAAATGTGAGGGGTTTGCTGAAAATTGTTAAACCACAACTACCCTGAAAAACAAGGCTAAGCTGTCTGCTCCAATGTCACTATTTACAGTAACCACTTAGTCTGTAATTTAGCCTCAAAGCAGCTCTATTGGAGTCTCTTTGTGTTCCCGTTTTTTCTTTCTTAAACAGCTGTTGTTTTTTTAAGCAGCTGTTAAAAGCCCATTGGCGTCGGTGTCAGTTTGACAGTACTGGCCAAACAAGGGATACTGCTCTTTGAAACTGTCTCACAGCACAGTAAATAAGTCTGACTGGGAAAGAAACAGTTTTTCCTGTTAGATCAAGAGATTGGAGTAGATGTTTACGACAAGATGACCTAGCACAGTAGATAGTTACGCAAAAATTAACTGAGGATATCTCTGATCTCTGATCTAATCTAAAAGCTGGACTGCGGAGGCTCATAGGCTACCTACAAACACATGCTTTAAAATATGCCAAATTTTCTATGGTTGATCTAGCCGGTCAACTGGATCCTGGAAATATACCCTGGGAAAAGTTACTAATGTATGTATGTTACAAATGTATTTATAAAGCCCTTTTAAAAACAACGACTTTTCCATAGTAGCCTACTATACATATTAACAAGAATAAATTAAACATAAAAGCAAGCAATTATTGAAAGTTCTAGCAGTGATTAAAATTGTTGTCAACACTGTGTGATAAAGGGCTCAGCAGAGACCTGGCACAAGAGCTGCGTGTCATTTTCTGCACTATTCTGTCTGCTTTGTGCACATCCACCACTGGGTAGTTTACCTAATCCACAAAACAGGACAGGTCGACGCTACATAAAAACAATGGCCTAAAGAGGTCCATAGAGAGGATCTTCAGGGTTGATCTTCACTCTATTCAGGAATTGTGCAGGTATAAGGTCAGGAAAAGGGCAGCTTAAGTCTCTGAAGACCCCACACATTCCAGACACAAATAGTTTAGACCTAAATTTTTATATTGGTGCTACGTTCAAAAGGCTCGTTGCAAAAACCAGCTACAGTAAAGGCAGTTTATATGGCCAGACTGTCTATCTGATCAAGACTTTAAAATAAGAATAATTTCATTTACATTTACTCTAAATAAAATCTGTCATACTTTTTCATATAATATATTTATATATTTGATTATATTTAAATTTTCAGTGAGAGCAACTATAAATCTATGTTGAAGTCCTTGTTTGTCTGCACAAACATAGTCTATATAAAAGGAAACCCTAAAAACTCCCCATTACAAATAGAAATCAATGGATGTAACCCTTTTGGCCCTTTCCTGCAGAGTGTGCTCATTCACATCCAGATATGTTTGTAGAAGCAGTTGTACTCTGGTTTTGTGAAATTTATATCTTATTATCTTCGTCCAACATCCCAATGCACAGAGATATTTAGGAAGGTGATGCATGTTCCAGTAGTTGGGTTCACTATCTGTTCAGTGATCAGAGATGCTTAACATTAGTGCTCCACAGCTGCAGATGTTGTAACAGATGTGCTTTATATCATGTTCAACAATAGTTGGGATCAGCAGAAGCAGAAAGAGAGGGAAATATATATTTATATTTCTCTGCAGCATTATATAGAATATTTTATTCTATAAATCTTAAAGGCAGATAAAAAAGTGATGGTAGGAGATAAAAGAAAAATATTTACTATATAGGTTTGGGACAGTAAAACCTTTTCAGCATGAATTTTGACCCAAAACCACTCGCAAGTCCTGTGTTACTCTCCCAGAATGAAGTTGAACAGAGTCCCAGGTGTTGGTCTGATGCTTTAAATGATTCTGCTCAGTTCAGTGGTTTAGTTTTGTGCTATTTAAATGATCAGGTGCAGTTCTACCCAACTTTGGTTAATTTTGTTTAGTTGTCAGGCAAGTCTCAGGTGGTCCACTGACTTTGGCTGTCTGGTGATGATTTGAGGTGACAGGATGTAAGTCTGATAGGTAAGTTCACTGTCTGTGCACATGCAAGATTAGTTCTACTGATTAGTAAGTTTTAAAAATGCAAGATTTAAAAAATGAGTTATAAATGAGAAAGAAGAGTAAAAAAGGCAATCCTTCCACAACATACACTAAAAGATTTAGACTATTAAACCAAATGTCTGACCATCTGCCGCCTAGGATAGTTGAGGACCAGATTCAGTGCTAAATTGTGCGCAGAGAGTTACATATGGCTGGTCAGTCCAGGGGGAAATCATACTCAACTTGATTCATTATTTCAGTTTCCTTATAAATCCTTGAAATAAACATAGATTAAAAATATATATATATATTTTTAACCTTTAGATAAAGAATGGCCATGGTATTTTGTTTTACAGCAAAAAGGTTTGAAAAGAAGATCAAAATTACAATTAATAACACAATAAATATTCTTTTGTAGCAAATTGAAAATGAAAACGTCATTTTGATGATCAATCTTCTTGTAATCATTAGGTGTTGGGGCCCCCTAAACCTCATAAATCATAAACTGCAAGGTATTAAAACAAATTAGCAAATCGTCTTAACTCTAAAACTAAATCTGCCTCGTCTTATCATATTGGTTAAACATTACACAGTCTGTTTATTACAAGTGTTTGTTTTGTTCAGTGTTGTTTTTGACAGCCATCTGAGATTTAGTCTTAGGCTTCTGTTATTAGTTTTAGTCAAATTTTAACCATTACGAGATATTATAGTTTTACCGGTAGTCGACTAAATTTAGGTCTGGCAATCCAGACCTAAATTGAATGAATAAAATGTTGAAATATTCAAAGGAAAATTAGAAAATGTTCAAATGACAATACAAGGAAACATTTGCATCATATTTAAATAGATAGAAACAAGAACAATGAGAGAGAAATATTCAATTATCTATGTGCCTTTTCATCTTGCTCTTTTCCCAAAAATAAACAGAATGCAATGAATATGTTATTTGGATATAATTTTGGTAGAAATTAAAGAATGTTTATTATCACCTCTTGTGAGCTGGAACAAATAAAATATTAATAGTAATGGGATTTTTTACGCTTGGCAGAGGATGATCAGCCACATAGTTTATTAAGTAGCGATGGAAGAGCCATACTCTGAGAGAGAACCATCAGTGTGGAGTTGAAGCGCTGATTCGGAGCTCTGTAAAGTCGCATTTCTGCTAAAGCATTTTGCATTTCTTGCATTTTAAACGTCTGACCGACGACCCGTTAATTTTTATCTAGTCTCGTCTCGTTGAGTAAAACTCAAACCTGTAGCTACAGTGTAGTCATGTTTTAGTCACCAAAGATCCATGTGTAGCTTGTTGAAATGATTTCATCATCCTCATCATTGACAAGAACTGGTTTTGTTACACAACTACTTTGGTTTTACCTAAATGTAAAATACTGGGATCAGCATACAAATACAAAAAGAATTAACTCTGAAAGGGATTGGGAAGCCAGCTAAGTTTTTGACTTTCACAAACATAATCAGTCTTCAGCATGATGCCTGCTCAGTTTCAAACTAATTCACATCTTATAGAAGGCGACCCAAACATGTCATGTATCTCTGGTCAACATTGGCAGTAACAATACATGACTGTGTAGGGGAATCTGCATATGACTTCAAATTTGCAAAATAGCTTTTCCGAACCAGCTTAAAGTTTAGAACCTCTTCCTTAATAACTCCAAATAGTGGACAATCTGGATGAAGAGTGAATGGTCTTTAACTACTGAAGTCAAGTTGTTTGGATTTTGTTAACCTTTTTGGATACCCCAAACACTGTCACATTTAAGAGCAGAGTTTGGGGAAAAAAATCACTTTAACGGTATATCAGGATTTTCAGCTGCCCAATGTAATGTTGATATTTCAGTTCATAATATCGATTTTTATTAAAAACAAAGCATTTTTAACTAAAACAATGAGGGGAAAAATGGCTGCCTCTGCACCTCCTCTCAGGCAGATGACCCAAGTTTAATGATCGCAACACCCATGCCAATGCTTACCCCAGTTTAAGAGTTACTTTTCTTAAAGCTCAAACAATTTCTATCTCTTTAAACAGAGCAAAAAATTTATGATTTGTCTTGAAAAAAACTTAAGGCTTAAAGACCCCAATTTTAATGCTAATATTTTCCCCATGTTCAGAATAAACATTTTGTTATGATTACTGGGAAATATTAAAATATTTTTTACATTTGGAGCTTAATATGTCATAACATAAATCACAGCACAGGGAGAGAAGGTAATGGAAGATGGAGGAGAAAAGGGAAGGCAGTTTCAAAAGCTTTCTTCTTTAAAATCAAGCAGCTGTGCTTGTGAACGTTAACTGACTGATGCTCATTAAAAGTTGGAGCTCTGAGGAAAGAAATGGCTAACACCTGCTTCTTTCTCCTCCTCCTTTACTTTCTATTGCCTCCTGCTCTTCCTCCTCTTTATCACCCATTTATCCATCTCTGCTCATCCTGTCATTCCAGCTACTTTCTTTTCATCCCCTTCATCTGTCAGTTGATTCAAAAATCTGAGGATACCCTCTTGCTTTCATTCCATCTATTTTTGATGGTGATGAAGAACAATTAGTCTCTTAAAGAGCTTCCAACTTGAAAAAGTCAGACATGTAAAGGCACAGAGGAGTGTGATTATTGTGGGACAGATGCTTTTTCTTTTTCTTAAAATCATCAGGAAAAAGGAGTTACCAGATGATTAATGATGTTATTCTATTTTTTCAGATTGCAGCTCAGAAGAGAAATTTAAAGAACTACCATTTCATCCTGGCAAACCTGGTAAGGACATGTTTATTTTAAAGTAATTGATGAGCTAACCCAGTAAGAGTAAAACTGGTTTCAGTTCAATTTAAAGGGACACTTTTAATAACGTTTAATGTAGCTTAAGCAAAAAAATTCAATCTGGAAGACCAATCAGCTTCACCTGAACCACCTGTGAGGCCACTCGTCCCAGGACCACACCTTCTCTGGAGCCAATCAACTTTCAACATCCCCTTCTTGAAAACTCCTGGCATAGCTATTCTCTTCTGCACAAAAGTGAACTTTCACCCACCTCTGCCCCATCTTCTCCCTCACTCTTAGGCTATTTCTCGGTCCCACTCGCCCTCTGGCTCATTCCACCACCTGTGTCTGGGCCCTGGGGGAAGATTACTCTAATCAGTTTCCTAGGTTATTTATTCAAGCAAATATTGATACACAGCATCAAAGTCTTCTGCCGGGGCCAGAGCGCCAAATAACTTATTTCACTTATGTCAGTATTTATATATCTGCTTCTAACCTTAAACCACAGTTGACTTCGGCAGAAGGCTGCTCACACTGAGCCTGGTTCTGTTAGAGGATTCTTCCTGTTAAAAAGGAGTTCTCCTCTCCCCTGCATTAGATGTATACTATGTGTGAGGGAAGTGAGAGAGTAAATGAGTCAATGCAGCTGGTTTTCTTTAGATAGAAAAATTGACCCATTCATCTGTGTTACCTGCATGAATAAATTGAATGAAATAAAACTTTTCTAAATGCATCTTTTCTCTTTGTGAGTCTCTCCAGGTTGATTTTTATTTATTTATTTATTTATTTGTTTGTTTTTGTGCATTTTAGCTTTAAGATCAATAAAATACTCTAGGTATCCATTATTTTTTTCTTGTTGCTTGTCAAAAAGTGAAGAAATATCAATCTCCTGCTCTTAAAGGTGAAGATTCAAAAACAATATTTAAAACCAATATTTAAAACCAATATTTCAATTCCTGCATGTCAAATAAACCAAATCAGCCAATCTGTTATAAATATATTAATTAATTTTACTATAAATGTAGCAAACAGAGATTAGAGCTAATATTACATGCAATACCTAAAAGAAAATGGGTGGAAATTATATACTTTTATACTTACCGGTAGATATGGGATTAGACTTGACTTTTTTTTTACAAAAGCTTTTAAACGAAGAATGTATTTGGTTTTCTTATTCTGACATGATACATTTATGTTCATTAAGTGGTTGCAGCCTATGTTACAACATTTGAATGCAAATTTAATTAAATGAAAATTGTAGATCTGGGGTGTTCTTTATTCCTTTTATTTGTGTGTTTTGTTCAGGGCTTCCTTGATCTGAATGTCACTGAGTTTCAGAAGCTGGCACCAAATGCGACAGGTTTCCAGCTGGTAAACCGGACACACCCAGCTGTAGAGAAAATCAACCAGGACTGGATGGGTTTTGACAGCAAAGACCTTAAACTAACACGGAAAAGGCTCAAGGTGAACAAACACAACAAGAAATATAATAAAATGTTATATATGAATATAATATTAAAACTTCCTGTTGTCTTCCATTCCTTAAGTAACTCAATTTATGACTAACTCTTAAGTTTTAAATGGGGTTCCTCCACATTAGATTCAGCATTTGGTCCTCATAAGGTCTGTCTCTTTACAGGGTTAACTATAACAGAAAAGGCCCTGCTTTCACATTGAATTCCAATAGTTTGAATAAAAAAAAAAAACACAAAACAAAACAGAAGTTATTACAGAAAGGTGTTTTACTTATTTATTCATTATCTATTTGCATTTTTAAACCATGTTTGGACATTCATGAAACATCATGGTTAAAAAACCTGAGTGAAACCTATTCATTATAAGGGTTGGGCTTCAGCCTCCCGTTGTTTTCCTTTGTTGAAAAGTGATTCAAAAGCGACATGCATTGCAGTCTCTCTCTCTCTCTCTCTCTATATATATATATATATATATATATATATATATATATATATATATATATATATATATATATATATATATAAATATAAAATATATATATATATATATATATATATATATAAAATTTACCAAAGAGGGTAGTTTTAAATAGCCTCAAATTGAGCTAAGCTTGCTCCACAATCTTTATATATCTTTGATAAAACCATAAATTTTGTCTTTATCCACTTGCTTTCTTTTTTAAACTGCTTTCTCTTTGGCATTTCTGTGATGTTTTAGAAAAATGTTTTAAATCACTTCCAGATATTGTTCAGTTCTCTCTCTTTTTAAAACAAAACCTTCTAAGTTTCATATCATTGGTATGTGCTTAGTCTGTGTGAAGAAGAAAAAAATAAACAATTTTTTGCTAAAGTTATGTTAATTAATTAAAAAACTCAGTTCTATTGCTCCTAATGCTAAACTAACTATCCAGATACTTAAGGATGCTTTGATAAGATTTCTGAATATTGCCAAAGTCCATTCTATGTCCACTTATGTTTTCATTTATGTAAAAAAAAAATAGTTGAGTCTGACGCTCTCATTGTCAGAAAAGAAAATACTTTTTACTAGCTCTCCCAAAACCAGCCAACCAACCATCCATTTATCCATTGGCTGTTCCATATTCACGGCTGAAACCAAAAAGTGACAAAAACTTAACAATAAACTAAAACCTTCTCTGTGGCTCATTTTGTAAAAGTATGTCTTAAAAGGATATTACAGGTGCTGGTCATAAAATTAGAATATCATGAAAAAGTAGATTGATTTCAGTAATTCCATTTAAAAAGTGAAACTTGTATATTATATTCATACATTACATACAAACTCATATATTTCAGGTGTTTATTTTGTTTAATTTTGATGATTACAAATGACAACAAATGAAAATCTCAAATTCATCATATCAGAAAATTAGAATATTGTGAAAAGGTTCAAAATTGATGGCCCCTGGTGCCACACTCTAATCAGCTAATTAACTCAAACCACCTGCAAAAGCCTTTAAATGGTCTTTCAGTCTAGTTCTATAGGCTACACAATCATGGGGAAGACTGCTGACTTGACAGTTGTCCAAAAGACGACCATCGACACCTTGCACAAGGAGGGCAAGACACAAAAGGTCATCGCTAAAGAGGCTGGCTGTTCACAGAGCTCAGTGTCCAAGCACATTAATAGAGAGGCGAAGGGAAGGAAAAGATGTGGTCGAAAAAAGTGTACAAGCAAGAGAGATAACCGCACCCTGGAGAGGATTGTGAAACAAAACCCATTCAAAAATGTGGGGGAGATTCACAAAGAGTGGACTGCAGCTGGAGTGAGTGCTTCAAGAACCACCACACACAGACGTATGAAAGACATGGGTTTCTGCTGTCGCATTCCTTGTGTCAAGCCACTCTTGAACCACAGACAGCGTCAGAAGCGTCTTGCCTGGGCTAAAGAGAAACAGGACTGGACTGCTGGTGAGTGGTCCAAAGTCATGTTCTCTGATGAAAGTAAATTTTGCATTTCCTTTGGAAATCAAGGTCCCAGAGTCTGGAGGAAAAGTAGAGAGGCACTTCATCCACGTTGCTTGAAGTCCAGTGTAAAGTTTCCACAGTCAGTGATGGTTTGGGGTGCCATGTCATCTGCTGGTGTTGGTCCATTGTGTTTTCTGAGGTCCAGGGTCAACGCAGCCACATACCAGGAAGTTTTAGAGCACTTCATGCTTCCTGCAGCTGACCAACTTTTTGGAGATGCAGATTTCATTTTCCAAGAGGACTTGGCACCTGCACACAGTGCCAAAGCTACCAGTACCTGGTTGAAGGACCATGGTATCCCTGTTCTTAATTGGCCAGCAAACTCTCCTGACCTTAACCCCATAGAAAATCTATGGGGTATTGTGAAGAAGAAGATGCAATACACCAGACCCAACAATTCAGAAGAGCTAAAAGCCACTATTAGAGCAACCTGGGCTATCATAACACCTGAGCAGTGCCACAGACTGATCGACTCCATGCCACGCCGCATTGCTGCAGTAATACAGGCCAAAGGAGGCCCAACTAAATACTGAGTGCTGTACCTGCTCATACTTTTCATGTTCATACTTTTCAGTTGGCCAACATTTCTATAAATCCTTTGTTTTTATTGGTCTTCAGTAATATTCTAATTTTCTGATATGATGAATTTGAGATTTTCATTTGTTGTCATTTGTAATCATCAAAATTAAACAAAATAAACATCTGAAATATATGAGTTTGTATGTAATGTATGAATATAATATACAAGTTTCACTTTTTAAATGGAATTACTGAAATCAATCTACTTTTTCATGATATTCTAATTTTATGACCAGCACCTGTAGATGCATAGAGTTATATCTTTTTACTACTCCACTTTTTTATAGATAATTGTCATCAGTTAAAAATAGAAGAAAATTGTTGAAGAATTTTTTCCTCAAATGTTTTTTGCTCAGTACACAGGAGCTCTGACCTATGATGGCGTCAATGTTATGGTGAAGGCTTTCCAGAACCTGCGACAGCAGCGCATTGACATTTCTCGCCGTGGTAATGCAGGGGAGTGTTTAGCCAACCCCCCAGCTCCATGGGGACAAGGCATTGACATCCAGAGAGCTCTGCAGCAGGTATGCATGAAGCCGCTGATGCAGCAGATTTTTGTTACAAGAATAAACTGGTAAAAAGTAAATTAACTAAAAAGGACAGGGTTCAAACTGAGATGAGAGATTACACCAAAAATCCGGGAAACCACTGTGGTCTTATTCTACGTCCTAGTACTTTTTCGACTATGGAATAATGCCTATAGTTTCAAATTTTTATTTATTCCTAAGGAATAAATAAAAATTTGAAACTATAGGTATTATGCCATAGTCAAATTTGATTGTTTATATGTCTCAAACACAGCAAACTATTTACCAAGGTTACCAAAGTTATTTTCTGTCTCTGGTCTCACACACCTACACTGAATGAGACAAATATAATCTCATAGGAATTCTTTAATTTCTCCAAACCCACCGGGTAGCGGGCGAACCATATCAAAGTGTTTACTACTAATAACTCAGAACGCATGAAAATTACACCGGTAAATGTTTACAACTATAGACATGTAAGACAAGTCTACAAAAGATTCCATGATGAGAAAGTCGCCACATAACATCCGTTTTTTGACATCAGAAAAGATAATGCTTAGTATTTTGCTAATATTTACTTCCTAATACTTATTTCCTCAGTTGTTTGCCCACGATGTTTGGTATGTTTCTTTACATTGTCTTCTTATCTACAAGACTAAAGTGTCTGCATCTTTGTATGGGTCGATTTGAGTCAGGGACAGTCGCAAAAGTCTCCCAAGCGCTCCTTGCCTGTCAGCCAATGACGCAACGAGTAGAGCAATATTACGCCTCAAAGAGTCCTGCTGTTATTGGTTAAGACCACATGGACTGTTTGGCTTTGTAGCCAATGAAATAAGGTTTTAAACAAGGCTATTCATGGCTGGGTTGCATAAAGCAAAGCCGTGTTACCGGCTTGCGTAAGAGTGAAGCACACAGCTAAGAGTGGATCAATGCTTGCAGCTCGAAGCTGAATAAAAACAAGTTTTGACACTGATTTTGTTTTATTACAATGCCTAAGGCTGAAAAAATAAAAAATACACCTCAGAAAAGGCACTGGAGTTTATTTTAGCTTGAAAATCAGCAGTTTCACTGTTTTTTTTTATAGATTTTTATGTTATTGTAGGTTTATAAATGTTACATTTTGTTATATACACCGATTTTGAAAAAATAAGTGGAAATTACTTGCTTGATTAATGTTTTGTGGTCACCTAAATGCTTGAGTGTTATTCTATGGGCCAAATAGTTGATTAAAAGCATTTGGCACAATTTGGCACATTTGGAGGGATTTAGTGATTTAGTATTACGCTGGTGACATTAAAAGTTCAAAGCCCCATAATTGTAGATCTCTCAGACCTACAACAGTTCCAGACAAATGCAGGTCTTACATTTTCAGCATTTTGGGTTGACATGATGTAGAGCAAATGTAATAGAATGAGATATGCCTATTCTCAAGCATGTCTTTATTACTACTTTTCAAAACCTATTATTTTCAAGAATAAAAAAACATCTTTGAGTCAAGTTTGAACTGATGCAACTTGGGCCATTCTATTTAAATATTCAGAAACTATAAGGTGTTAGCTTTCAAATAATGTATCACACATGTAATTTGGGCTTACAGTTCCTAAGCTATTTGTTTTTCCATTTGGGTATGCAATATAGGCGAGGATCACTTCGAAATGAGGGGGATATTAATATTCTGCTACTTTGTAGACTACTGAATATTCTACTTCATTTTGAAAAAAATAGACAATGAAAAAAACAAAATTCCTATGCCTGCTGACTCTGAAATAAATTGAAAACGTTTTTAAAAATAAGAATAACTTTTTGTTTCAAAAGGCTGGAAATAATGTACTTTCTTTGAAGGTTCGTCTAGAAGGACTGACGGGGCATGTCCAGTTTAATGAGCGAGGACATCGTACCAACTACACCCTGACTGTGATGGAGCTCAGCCACAAGGGGCCACGAAAGGTGCTGCTTTATTTTGATTGTTTTATTATCCAGTTTCTAACCAATGTTGGGGCCAGAGACTTAACGGGCTTCTGCAATATCAGCCAATTCAGTAATTAGCCTTTACCCTTATTAAACCTATGATAATCAGTTAAATCAGCAATGGCTCAGTGGAAACCAGCAGACTAATAACTTTCTGCTTCAGTCTTTTAAATTCAAACCCTAAGTACTCATTGTAACAAAAAACAATTATCCTTGATTTGCATTTTATTAGATCATACAACATATCACAGTTTTAAGGAGATGAATTGTAAGCCACAACAAAGCAAAACTGGATAGTACTTTTTGTTTGGAGTTACAGTACTTTCACACTTTATCTGAAAACAGAATACATACCCACAGTGATACAGGGTTGCCAAGGGTCACTTGATATTTAATAAGATATGAAATGAATATTAAACGCTAATTTTAAGTTTTCAAAGAAACACTAAAGATTAAGTAGTTATTTCAAACTGGAAACAAAGTCTTAAAGTAATGATAAAAGTAAACGAATGTAATGAAAAATTATCTTATAGCTGAAAATGACCATAGACCCACTTTTTGGATCTATTTGGGGGTTTGATTTCTTTTTAAGCAATGATGTTGTTTGGCTTAGGCTAATTTAAAAAAAAAAATTACAACATAAAGATGATTTATTACAAGAACACTATTGGGTCAGGCAGGAAATTAAGATGGGAAGGTAAGACGTGAGGTGAGCCTCTCATTAAATTATGTGTACTGCAGATAAACAACTGCAGTACAATTTAAGATAAAAATGTTGAGTGAGGTTTTTTTTATCTTTGAAAAATAGCAATACAAATATGATATTTTCTTGATGGGTGTACCACATTTCTTTTTATTGAAGTAGGATTGTTTACAAAGTTCATGATATTGCCTTTGTTAAGCCTTTATTACATGGCTTAGCTTTATTGTAATAATTGTATGATTCCTTTGTGTATATATTCAAATGATTCCTTTAACTCTCAATGAGACTTATGCTCCTTTCAGCAGGTGATTTAGCCCACTGCACATGAGCACTGATCCAGTAGTCTTTGGTTTGAAGAGGACCATATTTAATTCAGACTCTTTATTGTGATTGTTGTTCCTGTTACAGATAGACTATTTCGCCTTTCTGCCCTGCTACAGGGACTTGTGTACAAAGCATTTAAGTCTGGAAAGAATCGGGGAGAGCCCAAATTCTAAGACAGGACTAAGAGCGTCAGCGGAAGCAGTTTATCAGATAACTACATATGTGACACAATAATGTCTTATTTTTAAAAGAAAAGCTCCTGCAGCTGCCAGTTGTTGATATTTTAAAGATCTATACTGCTCCTTTGTGACATTATAAAGGGCATCATTAAAGAATCACTCTGATGCAGCTGTAATTTTGACTGTTATGGGTACAGAAAACAGTTGCTGCATTTTGGGCCTTTCTACCGATGTGATTTGTCCAGTCTGTTTAAGACTTGAGAGTCTTGAGCCTTATCAGACTGACTTATGACCCTGTAAAACATATCTGGCCGGCCAGGCTGCTTTTTCACATGAACATATCGAGTATTCCTATCCCTGGGTTGTCTTGATTAAAAACTTCACAGTACTATTCATTCTTAATTTTTTATGTCAAAGTTAGATTAGCCAAATTAACCTAAGGAAATCAGGCTAGTGCCGTTTCATAGGACAGGGCCCTGACATATACACCTCTGTGGTTGAATCGGCCATAAGTTTACTTTGGTCCTTTTTTAAGACCTGGCAAGAACAAGGGATTATAGGTAGGCCTACCTGTATTACATATCCATGTTTCTATTACAAAATATACAGCATATAAATCTTTTTTTTTCTTACTCCACATTCTTAAATATAGTTGCTTCTGTTTCCCAGTTTAATGATCCGGGTGTCCATTTTTCTCTAGATTGGCCACTGGAATGAGAAAAGGGGCTACGTAAACACAGCTGTCTACAGGCCGTTGACGGAAGAACTGTTGAATGCTGGTCTGCTAAACAAAACCTACATTATTACCACCATATTGGTAAGACCAGGATACTGTTTATCTTCAATTTGACTAAATGATATAGTCATGCTAATCACTCAGTCGGTATTGATCCAACTATTTCCTGTCATTAAAAAAGCATAATAACCTTTGACTAGATCATCCTCGTCTTCTTTGGCTTATCTGGGGCTGGGTCGCAGGGCAGCAGTCTTAGCAGGGATTCCCAGAGTTCCATGTCCCTAGACACCTTTTTCAGCTCCTTTAGGGGGAGGTCTAAAGTGTACCTGTGCCAGCAGGGACACATAGTGCCTCCAGCGGGTACTGGGCTTTCCCCTGGGCATCCTGCTGGTGAAACATGCCTGCACACCTCCCACTAAATAGAAGCGTCCACAGGGCATCCAAAGTAGATGACTGGACCATCTCAGTTGACTCTTCTCAATGTGGAGGAGAAGCGGTTCTACTCTGAGGCCCTCCCAGATTACAGAGCTCCCTACCCTGTCACTGAGGGAATACCCGGGCACACTGCAGAGGAAACTTATTTTAGTTGCTTGTATCTGTAATCTCATTCTTTCAGTCATGAACCAGATACCATGACCACCATAGGTGAGGGTAGGAACATGGATTGACAGGAAAATCGAAACCTTATCTTTTTTGCTCAGCTCTTTCTTCATATCAAGAGACCGGTGCAGCATTTGAATTACACCGTATACTGTGTCTGTAGACCTTCGGCTCCATTCTCTCCTCACTCATTAAAAGGTTGTCAAGATAACTCCTACACTTAAATGTTGATGATGTGATATTGGTTTTGTGTAATTTTGCATTAATATCATGTAGCAAGAATTATTAGGAATTAAACAGGCTTATTCTTAACACAAATATTCTACTTTTAGTAGTGCCACAGCAATAGCCTGTTTAATAGCTAGTAAAAGCCCATCTCTGTGTGGTCATGTTAGAGGGAGAACACTTTTGGAGCTAGCTATTCTATAATGGAGATGGATAGAAACATTGATAATTGTTCCAGAACATCTTGTCTGGATTGGTTTTTGTGGTTGAACCATCAACCAGTTTAAGCTCAGCAAAGGATAGAGATGCTGAGGAATATGGAGGTACCACACCTTACAGGTCAGAACCATCCAGAGCAGACATCTAGCCTACAGTTACTGAGTGGCATAGTTTTGATAAAAACTATTTTATGCAGGCCCCATTGAAATTATTAACTTTTTGGTCTACAAAACTTGAAAATGTCAATATCAACACTTTAAGGCAGGAAATCTTCTCTGACCTGTAAAGTCTTTAAATAGTTAATAAACATATTTTTTTCATTAAGTATTTATCTATATAATGTGTTTAAAGATTTTGTTACTGAAATAAATTAGCTGTTTAATTATTTAGTGAGATGTCCCTGTTTGTCATATTGACTTTTCTGTATGGGCTAAAATGGCCATAGTGCTTTTAGCACCAGTTGGATTGAGTATGCCTAAAAAAATGAGTAGTAATTTATGATTGACAGGTAAGAGGAGGTGTAAAAGTCCACAAACTTGATGTAATCAAAAACTGCCTCCCCGTGTTTTAAGAATGGGACATGTTCTGCCCTCCTTCACTACCTGAAATCAACAGCTCCAGAATTTGTTACTGTTCAGGGCACAAATTCTGGAGTCTTCAGTGAATAAAATGAAGAGGATTGGACTGAATAATCAGCATTCCTATGTTCCTAATTGAAGAGGGTGATGAATGGTTCACTATTTTCACCACTTGGGACCTGTTGGTGAGAAAGTCTTTGACCCACAAACGGAGACAGTGGGACTTACCCAGGCTCGGGAGTTTGACCATCCAGGATTAAAACAATTAAATCACGCTTTATCAAAATGCAATTTATTTTGTTGAAAATAACAGATACCAGTTTAGGGAGTTCATCATAAAAAACATCCTACATTCTTCTATATTTTTTTGTTGACACTAAATAGAAAAATTACTATTATTATCCCAAAGTTATTTATAACATCATGAAAGGAGATATTTTTGTTGCTGTTATTACTAAATGGATCAAGATACCATGTTTATTGGGAAGAGGGGAGGGATAAAAATAACACACATGAAAAAAAACATTGGTTAAATATGAGCAGTGGTGAGCTATCCCCTTCCGTTTCTGTTGATGTGGTCACAGGAAGCTCCCTACATGATGCTGAAGAAGAACCACGAGCAGCTTAAGGGAAATGAAAAGTATGAAGGTTACTGTGCTGAACTAGCAGCCGAAATCGCCAAACATGTTGGCTTCACCTACAGCCTCGAGTTGGTGACGGATGGAAAGTATGGCGCCAGAGATGCGGAATCAAAGTTATGGAATGGCATGGTGGGAGAACTGGTCTATGGGGTGAGTTTATGGTAACGCATTTATTAAATCCTAGACAAATAAACTGATTGGCTAATCTAGTAGTAATGAGTCCATATTTCAGAGAAATTACTTAAGTTAAACTAAATAAACAGTTTTTTGGTTTGTACAGTCTGCCAACATAGTGGTTTTACTTGCATTGTTTTCTCTAATGCTAAACCTTTTCAAACCTTCTTTGCTATTTTGCCCCTTAAAAATACAATTTTATTGTATTTAAATTCTGAGATCAAAGTTAAAACAACTCCTGCATCCTAAGCATTACAAATTTGAAGTTTGCGAAAACTAGGGAAAATGCTGCTGCTCAAGGGCATAGGTTTGATTAAAACTTTGGTAGGGACACTATTGGCCTTAAGTTTCGTTGGTCTGATGTCATTGGTCCTAAGCAAAACTGTACATGCTCTTTTTTTATGCTTGACGTGAGCATCAGGGCGCATTTCGTTTAAAGAGAAAAGCAGCATTTTTTGCTACATTAATAAAAATTTAATTAGCACTTCACACACTAGATGCTGTTTTTCAATGTTTGAAGCATCACTGGCTCTGACGAATGTGGAATTAGCACTTTTTTCCATTTTGAAAAGGTTAGCATTTGAACTTACCAGTGACTAAGACAGAAGGTAAATATGTATCTATTTAAACAAATACAGTCTAAATATGTCCGTTATATGTGGATTTATCCTGTATTTTCCTTTGATTATATAGAACTGTGCGGAGGTAAACCCCACTCTTACTTGTTTATCTAATATGCTCTCTCTGAAAATAATATATTCAAGGGACGGCAACTAAATATATTGTAATTACATGTGCACTGGAACTAGAAGAGGAACTGACACTGAGCATTTAAAATATCATTATACAAGTTGTACATCTGGGCTGCAGTTACTCTGTGTAGCCCATTTGATGTATTTGATCCAGGGCTGAACAAAATATATTGTGTTAATCGATTATTTAGATTATCGTCAACTAATTTAGTCATTTATTAATCATTAACAGGAGTACAGTAGAGACTGTAAGACGTGCGTTTAGCTCACAGAGCTACCCCCTTAGAGCAGTAATTATACCAAGATTGTAAAAATATATAAACATTTTACATTTAAAATAAAAAAACAATTTTCTGTCTGTCAGTGTTCTCAATCTAGAACTCCTCAAGAGGAAACGTTTTCGTTCCACCTGGTTAAACCTTTGGCTATCCAATTATTAATCAATTAAACGAAAAAATTATCCACAGATTAATCGATTTGCAAAATAACCGTTAGTTGTAGCCCTAATTTTATCGTAACATTGCAAACACACTTCTTACATAATGCATCTGAAGTGGAGATAGCAGCCAACCAAACAGACGTAAATCAGGCAAATTATACTAAAATTAATGTGGCATCATTTGTGAGCTCCGAAAGAGATCACAGAATCAATTACTCATACTAAACAAAATTAATCTCTCACCTGAAGCGCTTAAGGTTCGGACACTTCTCTCTCTCTCTGCCACTGATGCAACATCACCACTGATTGTTTGACTTCCCTAAATTCAATACACTTATACTGTATAGTAATAAAAAAGCTGCCCCTTAATTTGTAATTAAAATCATTTAGACATCATCTGAGGCACTGAAGGGCCAGCTGCTTCAACATCAAGCTGCCCTGCATCACTATTACTGGATATCTGTGTTTCCTATAATATAATGTCACCATTATACAAGTGTGTTTTTAATATTAAAGAATTAAATGAAACTTTAAAATCAATGTAAATAGTGTTCCTCTGTTTGTAATTTTCTTTATCCTATTTCTAGAAGTAGAAATAATCAATGAAATAGCACTAGTGTTATTAGGAACCCTAATTCTGCTATTTAAACAAAAATAGCATATGTTTAGATGTTGTAATACCTTATAAAAGAAATAACACCTGGTATTTATACCTTAACTGCCTCAAAGTGTCATCATAAAATGAAGACAATAATAGCAACAAAGTATTGTAAAAGGGAAACCCTCACATTTTCTTTTTCAGTTGGCTGTGGCTAAGAATAAGAATTTTTGATAGCTTACAGTCTTTGCTTGTCCATTTTATCCAGCAGTCTTCAGAACTTCTGTCTGACTCGCAATATTTAGTTTTATTAAAGAAAAAAAAGTTTTTTGTCGATAAATTCTATTATACTTAAGAACTAAGTATTATTTTGAGATGCTAACGTTGGTTCCACAAATAAAAAGACTCTCTCTGGCTTCTTTACAGAACTACAATCAGCAGCTTTTGCCTGTTTTAGCATAGATTTTATAAAAAAAATTGAATTGGGACTAGTTTTGTAGCCTATTATTAATTGGAGTAACCACGGTATTGTAGCATAAAAAAAAAAAATTTCATGCTCCACACACACACACACATACAGAATAGAAAACAGCCAATCAGGAAGAGAAAAGGCGGAATTTAAGGCAGAAAAATTAGGAGTGGAGTTAAACAGCCCAGCAGTTTTTTTGTGTTTGTCTTTTTTTGTCCTATTTGTCCTGTAAATATAGAAGCAACCTGGGTCACCTTCTCCAGGTTTTATAGGTTTATATGCATCTAATCCGATACCTTATCTGTTGTATATGATGGTTTATAATAATAACAATAATAAAAAAATTATTTAAAAAAACGTTAAATGGCGCAGCACAGTAACATGCACTGCTAGGTTAAAGGGACAGGGAAGACCGCGCAGGCATTAGCAGCAGCTACCAGGGAGAGGAGCTGCGAGAGGAAAAGAAGAGACTGCTGCATTAATGCTGTATTGTATATAGGGTTGTCACGATACTAAACTTTTCAACTCGATACCGATACTAAGGGAAATATTTGATACTCGATACCATTTTCGATACAACAAGGATGAAAACAAAGACTCCAAATTTCTACAGAAATATATTTTCATTAATAAAAAAAATACAATAAATAAATACAATAAACAATAAGAGCAATATTCTGAGGTTGTATGCTCTGCATGATATTAAGCAAGCTTGATAAAAAACTTATAAAATTTAAATTAAGTGTTCCATCCTTGGCTATGCTTTGCACACATAGCAATGACACTAGCCAAACCGGTTAAGAAACAAAAATAATTCTCAGCAGCTGCACCTGTTACAAAAAAAAAGTCTGAAACTGAAAAGTGCACAGAATTATTCAATCACACAGTGTTCTGAAAGTGCATTTTCCTCTATTCTTCACTTTAGATGAATGACTGTTCAGGTGCCACTGGTGGTGGCACTGTATCGATACTTTTAAAAACGAGTATTGTATCCGGATACAATGTGTTAGTATCGATATTTTTTTGAGTATCGATACTTTTGACAACCCTAATTGTATATTATAAACATGTTATTCACATCGAATTATTGGTAGGGACAAGTAGGTCAGTCCAAAATTTTGGTAGGGACAGGTCCCTATGCAAACCTATGCTTGTGCTGCTGCTACTATTAGTCCTCTCAAATATATACACAGGCTTTGTTTATTTAAGATATCTAAATGTAACATTATCTTATGTTAGAGTTTCTTAATTATTTGACCATTCCTTCTCTTGATTTGAGAAAGACCACTATTTTCTTTTTTTTAAATAATGGTTGAGGATATGTTGCTGTTAAACGCATCTTAAAGCTCCCAAAGAAAAATGTACTAAGAAACAGATATTTGAGAATGAAATTGACGGGACCATAAGCAACATGAGTTTTTGTTGTTTATTATTATCTTTTGGCTTTAGTCTGATTTTGGATGGTTTTTACAAGTCGGTATGTCAGTCCGGTATGTCACATTATTAGCTCTAATACAGTATGACATAAAAGAAAACTAAGTTAAGTAATTTATATATCTCAATCAGTAGTGTCAACAATAGTAGGATTAAAATATATTTTTGTTACAAATTTCTAATTTTATGCTAACCCTTTTCTCAAATGAGAGACAATAAATGAACAGTATCAAAGAAAAGATAAAAAAATAAAGCAAGCATGTGGTCTATGACATACATAGGATCTATCGTCCTGACATATTTACACATGAGCAAAGAAATTGCTGTTGAAAGTTAGGTCAAGTGGTTTAAAAAGCATCTTTTTAGCTTCATGCCCATATCAGCAGTGAGAGCTTAGCAGATGTTCTCGCTGTTGGTCAGTGAACATGTCTGTTGGTTTCTGTTTGCACCTAAAAATCATGTTTTTAAAGGACAAAGACCTCATCTGAGTGATTTTTGTCTGTGTCTTCCTACAGAAGGCAGACATGGCTGTCGCCCCGCTGACCATCACTCTTGTTCGAGAGCAGGTGATTGACTTCACCAAACCCTTTATGTCTCTGGGAATCTCCATTATGATCAAGAAACCAACCAAGTCCAAACCAGGCGTCTTTTCCTTTCTTGACCCGCTGGCCTACGAGATCTGGATGTGTATAGTTTTCGCATATATCGGAGTCAGCGTGGTGCTCTTTCTGGTATGATGACCGAAGTTGATGTATCTGTTTACATTGAGGACTTCATGATCAAATCTTTAAAACAAACTTTAAAAATCAAAGTTTCTAAAAAATGGGGGTTTGTGCAGTTCCCATAGTCAAAAACTCATTATAAACAAATTATTCAACAACATCGGAGTTGTCAAGAACTTCGTATGAGTTTGTTGCTCGTTTTGCTTTTGAGGGTATTAAATAATTCAATTAAAATTGTTGACCTGTTTGTGATAAACATAAAACTCCTTGCACATTGTAATTTCAATTCAATTTAGTTCAGTTAATTATATAGCGCCTATTCACAACATGTCATCTCAAGGCACGTTACAATTCAACTAGATCACACAGTAAAATTAATTAAGTTTTCTATCTAAGGAAAACCAGTTGATTGCATCGGGTCATTGACCTGAAGGCAATCCCTCACACCAAGCATGCATATTGCAACAGTGGAGAGGAAAGACTCCCTTTTAACAGGAAGAAACCTCCAGCAGAACCAGACTTAGTGTGAGCCGCCATCTGCTGAGGCTGACTGGGGTTCAAGGAGACAGAAGCAGACATACAGAAAGAAGCAGAGATACAAAAGGCAACTTTATAACTAATAATAATTTTCAAAATTATTCTAACTGTGAAAAGATATTTTTTATTAAGTCCATTGCTGAGTTTGATACACTCAGAAATACATTAGTTGTGTTTTAATAGGCTTATCTGTGAAGATTCTCACTCACCCAGGTCATGGTCAAGCTTGAAAGGTTTAGGCCCCGTCCACACGAAGCCGAACCCTGGCCTAAATGCAAAAATTTTTCACCAAACCAGCCTCTCATTCATACGAAGCCGGCGTTTCGGGGGTCTGTAAAAAATCTTTTTTTTATCAGGCCTTCAGAGTGGGAAGATTTTGAAACGCCGTTTTCGCGTTTCCATCTTTAAGCTCTAACCCCATTTTTTTTTTACACGCATGCGTCATAGCCTCGGCTCTAAACACGCATGCGCGACACATCACAACAACAATGGCGCCGTTGCTGCTAATGCTACTCACCCTGCTGTCGGGCTTACAACAGAATCTTCTTCTTCTGGAATATCTCCAGGAAGAACAGAGCAATATCGACGACATAGTTCAGCACCTGAATTTGACTGAACCACGAAAATGGACCCGCAGGGCAACCATGTATAAATATTAGTGCGCATACCCAACATTTCGTCGCCTATTTTTGCTTTGGCACCACAGCGCCACTTACAGGCCTGGCATACATTTTGCAGCGTTTTCATGCATTCGTGTGGACGATCACATTTATTTTACGTCTCCGTCTTTACGACAAACGTTCTTGAAAATATTAGCGTTTCGTGTTCGTTTTGACTTCGTGTGGACGGGGCCTTAGTTTAGGCAACTGATTGTGAAGTTTTCTAGAAGACGTTTCACCTCTTATCCAAGAGGCTTCTTCAGTTCTAACTAATGGTGGGGAGAACTGAGATTAATATACTGTAAGTGTAACAAAGAATTAGGGGAAACACAAGTTGACTCTGATCCCTCCTCCAGGATTGGCCATCGAGGTCACCTGGGGGGTTAATTGTTGTCAAGGGGTTCTGTTTGGCCGTTAAGTCCCTCATCAGAGTGTTTTTGGTCACAAGCCTCTTTGAAGTGTGAGTCAGCTGAGGGCAGGTGAGAAGTGGATCTTCTTGGCATTGTTCCTAAAAGTGCTTTGCAAGTGGGTGAGAAATGCTTTTTTCCAGGTTAACAAAGATGGTTTCCTTAACCCCTTACTCAAACCATCTTTCTTCCTTGGCCAGAAAATGGACTTTGTTGTCCTCAACAAATGTCCTTTAGTCTTCAGGTGTAGGTGGATAGCTGAGTCCTGTCCTGAGGAGTTTTTCCTCCTGTGTTCAGCCGTGTGCCTGTGTAGGGGTTGCTTGTTCTCTCCAGAGTAAAGGTCTGTTCACCCTTTCTTGCACTGAACGGCTTAGGTAGAACTGAACAAGCCTCTTGGAAAAGAGGTGAAACCTCTAGAAAACTCCACGTCCAGTTGGCTAAACTGAACCTTTCAAGCTTGTTTTAACAGGCCTTTTTTTATTTACATTTTTTACCGGTCTTTTGGACATTCTGCACCCCCTTCAACAAAAAAAAGATTTTTAGTTATGTTTTGTTATTTTGGGGAAAGATATTAAAAGGGATCTTTAGCTAAAAATATAAAAGTAGACTAATCAACAGTGGGTTTTAAATTGTATTTTATTGGGGATTTTTTAATCTTATTTTGATTTCCTTTTTTTATAAAATAACTGCAAGACAAGGTACACTGATGTGTCATTGTCAAGTACATGCACAGTAGATGGTTCAATTCAGGTTATAAAGTAGAATGAGGCTGGAAAGAAATGGCATAATGTAACAAGGTACAGATGACTTTGAGGCATTTCTTATCAGATTTAAACAACAAATACTGAGCTAAATTATACTGTAACAACAACATACAAGTAAGCTGATGTTTTTCTTTTCTTTTTTAAATAATTATTAACATTGCAATATAGTAAAGACCCTAGATGGGTCACTAGATGCTGTGGTTTGGAGTTGTGGACTAAACAACTATCAAACTGCAGCACTGTTTTATATCACAAAAATATTCACCATTATACAATACACCATAGACCTGACTATGACCCATAATCCTTCCGCTCCCAGACATAATTTCCTATTCATTGTATTTTCTAAGACATGCTATAAAATGGACTATGCTACAGGGCATGTATGCGATTTACTTTTAAATCAATCCTTTCATATACAAATTTGATCTTTCTTTCCCCTTTTATGTATAATAAAGCTCAATACTATTCATATCTCTGGGAGATTTAGGTTTAAAAATCTCTCTATTTTGCTGAGACTTTTTTTCTGTAAAATTGTAAGTAAGATCTATACTTTATAAAGCTCCAGCAAAAGTTTCCTGTTACATCAGGTATCAGAAAGCAAACCTTTTCAGCATGAGATTTTTTTAATGAAATGTATTCAGTCTATTTATTTGCGTTAAGCATTACATTAAGTGTTGAGCTGGTCCAGTCTGGTAATTTTCAGGATTTTCTGCAGGTGAGCCGTTTTAGTCCCTATGAGTGGCAGAGTGACGAGTCTGATGAAGAAGATGAAACTGTTCCATCTTCAGGGTCTCGACGAGCTCCACCCACTTCATCCTCTGAAGACCCTCAATCTCTAGGTATCTCCGCAATATTATTGTCTAATAAGCCCACAACTGTGTTGTTGCAATACTTCTCACAACAAAAATATGTTTAATTAATCAGGTTCCGCTATCTTTTCTACCTGTCAGGTTACTCTCAAGGTCAAAATCCAAACCAGAACCAACAAAAAGAAAAAGAAACCCCTGAACACACCAATGATTTTGGGATCTTTAATTCTCTCTGGTTCTCACTTGGGGCCTTCATGCAGCAAGGCTGTGACATCTCTCCCAGGTAAGATCAAATGATGAAAACTAATAGTAGTAATAACTAATTACAGGAGGAGTAAACAACTATTTAGTTCTGACTGTGTATAGATAGGCCTACTGCAAAATGTGTCCTAATACCAGAGTCTTATGTTGCTTATTGATGCAGTAGTCGTGCCTGGGAGGTAGATAAACCATCTTTCAATCATTTTCCAACAGAGAAAAGATCAAAAATATCTGCTTGCGAGCGAGCTTAACAAAGGATTAGTTAAAATGGCAAAACCTTGTAGGTAGTATGCTAGAAATAATAGTTGATGAGGAAAAAAAAAGATCAGATCCAAAAGTAGAAACATAGTATGCCCTGTAAAATTATGTAAAATAGTAAAAGTAGCTTTTCCTTCCTTATTTTTCAGCACATCGAGAGAAAAATAAATCTTAGTTGAAAATCTGCCTCGACTTGGTACAGTTTTGCTACTAAATCTGCAAAATCCACCAAAACTAGTGCTTTTCTTTAGTTTGTTTAGAATATCTTACTAAAGGTATTTTTCAGTGCGGTTGTACGTGGTCACCTTTAGCCCGAATAGGACTGCAGGGCTAAAAAAATCAGTGTGTGTGAGTTTGATGTGATTTGAATTAATATACTCTGCGCATTCAATGTTTATGTGAAGCATGAATGTCCTGCAGACAGAAACTTACAGATGTAGTTCTCACACCTACTGTACTGCTTGGAGCCAAATAAAGATGATATTAGAAAATCTAATGTGTGAAAGGAATCTGTGACAAGCAGCTCAATCTAACATGTAACTAACCTCCGGATATCATTTACTAGAAAGAAAAAGCTATAGTCAGAAGCATATAAAAGGTTTTAGCTTGGTGTGAAACATTGTTGGCATGTGAACTTTTCACATTAATGCCAACCTTTCATGGGCCGGCTGTTATTTGCAAAAGCTCTCCCTCTGATGAAACAAAAATTTGTTGCAAACACTGTAATCACCATGTTAGGCTGAAAATGTGGATACACAATGACATTAATGCATTACATGCTTCTAGAGATTTGTCTGCTGTAAATCTATTAAGTGAATATCTGGCTGTTCCACACCTTAGATATTCTCTCCACTCAACTGAGATCTAGTGAATGTGGGGATCAGGGGCAGAGGCCCTACAGACGATCTCCGCGCCAGTTCCCTTGCCAGAGGATGAAAAGCGAGCATTTACAGTTAGTCAAATAAAAAGCACTGAAGAACAGATCCAACGTCTATATACAGAGATCAATCCAGGATGGAGTCAAAGCTGAACAGGAACAGACCAGATGACACCAATATGACAGGAAAAAAAGATCATAAAGTTATGACCTCAATAGTGCAGAATGGGAGAACAGAGATAATAACACAGAATAAGGAAAATTGGTCATCCTGCAGCCTAAACATATATCAGCATAAATATAGTAAATAACTCAGGTGTGTGAGGTATGTGAAAGGTAGGGCCAACGTAGAGCCGAGTAAAAACATCTTTCCAGAGTGAAATTCTGCTTGGCCAGATCAGGTGGTTGATGCTCTCCCTGCCTCATGGATTACAGCGGTTATGGAACAAATGCTGCAGAATCAGATATCTATGATGTAAGCGAGCCCACCACGTAAGCAAGCCAAACCCCCTGACATGTCTCTGTAAATCCACGGTGCAAAAAGCTTACTGGTCTTTTTGCCCTGTAACCTCTGGGTCTGTTGGCAGGACATACCAATCTTCAGCTAAAGCCAAATTAAATGGCCACCTCCCTCTGGAGAAGTCTCATTTTTGCTGACGAAAACAGACTGCTTTCTGCCTATGATTCAGAACCAGCTGAACATAGAAGCTCTCATTGCAATTCCGCCTGCCTGAAGGTTTTTTTGCCTGGTCGACCCCTGATTGCTGCTCCCGGATCAGTCGCAGCCTTACCGCCCGTATGCTGAGGTGCCGCTGTAAAGCTGGCGAAACACAACCACTGGTTTTGGCACTACCTAGAAGCTGTCAGCTGCGGATCTGAGTCACTGCGTGATAAAGCAAAATAAAGCTCTACAAAGTTCCCTTTGTTATTACATATGACTAATTCACGTTTCTTTGAGGGCTTGTTGAAGTTAACGGACAGGGATTTCCGAACCAGAGTTGGAATAAAATATCCTTAATTTCAAATGTTGATGGTTTTCTATCAAAAAAAATTTGAACTGAATGTTGACTTAATGAAGCATGTGTGTGAATGAGCATGTGTGCTGCAAATGTGCAATGATTGACGCTGGTACTGTAGGCTTCCCTCTCGTCCCCATCATTGTCTATTTCCGCCTGTTGTCCTGAGAATTAGTGTGATAAGGTTTGAGCAGCAGGCATTGTTTGCTTCAGGCTACTTCCCTTTGGCCATGTGTATACACGGAGGGTACCATGTTGTGAAATGTATCACCCTTTGTTCTAACCTGGCCACAGTTTAGCTAAGGTAACCATCTTGTTGCTATGTGTCATCTGAATTAATCCATTGGTTTTCAGTGCTGCTACATTTTAATGCATTGTGATTATTTGTTCTTTGTTCAGTGTAAAACTGAATGAGGTTTTATTTTTTTGAATGCATTTAAGATCTCTGTATTGGTCACATTTATCAGCTGCTCTTTTAAAATACATCCCTAAATCCATTAATTCATCAAGCCTTAAACTTGAACATCCCTAGAGACATTTTGAAAAGACCCTCAGACCCCCTTTTTCTGCCTTTTATTAGCCTTTCATTCACCTTCTCCTTATTTTAAGAAGTGTGTAGTTTTGCATAGCTATTAAACATAACAATACTTTAACAAAGAATTTTACATAATAAAGAGCCATTATTTTACTGTGGTTGTCTAGGATTATTGGCATTACTCAGAACCAGATCCACTCCTTTTTAGTCAATAGTTACAGAAACAGAGACAATTTCCTTTGTTAGTGATTAATAACTCTGTTGATAACCATACTTTAAATGATTAAAGCCAGAGGTGAAAAATACACTGAATTTTTACAGCCTGTCCAGGAGTCCAACATTGGGTAAAGACTAAAAAGCTTTGTCAAGTAAGCAGATTACTGTTATGGTCATTTTACTAATAATGAGTGTAACCCTTGATTTGAATGGCCTATTAATTAACCAGAACTTCCAGTTTTAGTCATTTAAAATATTCATAATGTGGTGGTAAAATTGCTTACCACAGTCTTCCTGAAAAGAACTACCAAAAACAAAGCTATGTGTAGCAAATGGCTGTATCACGTACAGTACATACTCGTACTCGTCGTCTCCCGCTTTATCCGGAACCGGGTCGCGGGGGCAGCAGACTAAGCAGAGACTCCCAGACTTCCCTCTCCGCAGACACCTACCGTACAGTACATGTAAAGCAATATTTATTTGTTGATTTTCATGAAGTGGTCTTAGACTATACGTCATGTCAAAGGTTTGTGGGAATCCATCTAACTCATATGAGCTAGTTGTACTTTTTCTGTGGCAGCTCCCAAGCTATGGAATGATCTTCCTTTGGGCATAAGACAGGCCTCTTCACTAGCTGCTTTTAAGTCTCTTCCTAAGACCCAACTTTTTTCTTTGGCTTTTGGTGCAATCTGAGAGGTTCACTTTGTTTTATTGTGTCTGTAAAATAATATGTATTTTTTTATTTGATCTTTGCTATTTTTATAATTGCATTGTATTTTATGATTGTGTACAGCACTTTGTCCCTTTCGGTGTATAGTGCTTCATAAATAAAGATGGTATGGTATAGCATGGTATGGTACGGTACGGTATGGTACGGCACGGTATGGTAGATTGTAACGTCAGGATCAATAGCTCTATCCGATTGGCACCATTCAAATGAAGCTTTTGACTGTAGAATTTACTCCAAGAAATCATTTGAAGCAGATTTGAGTATTTGGACATTACTGCTGGAAGTACTCATCAGAGGATAGTGAGGTCAAGAAGTAGAGATATGGTCAGAAATAATTATGCTGAATGGTTGGTAAGGAGAAAAAGTATGTCCACAACATTACACCCCCAGCAGCAGCAGGGGGTTCATTAAATTCTGATGCTTCTTTCTTACTGTATGTAGCAGCTGAACTTGAAAGTCTTTGGGACACAATTTTTTTTTTAGTCTGTGATTGTTTTTGTTAAACTTTGGTTAAATAAAGTGAGTCTTATTCTGAGATTACTAGTTACCAAAGTAGTACCTAAGACCAACTGCTGCTGCAGCACTTTTGACTCATAGTAAAAAGTTGTTTCCAAGGTGGTATTCTGCAAACTGTAATTGTAATGAATGTTTGTTTGACCTATTGGCACCCTTCAACTGGCCTGCCATTCTACTTATCAGACTTTAACAGGGCAGAGGGCTAAACTGAAGCATTCATCTGACAAAATCAAATTTTTATTATTTATAAGTTGTAGTTGTGTCTCTACTCAGACACACTGATTAAATGAGTCCTATTACCTCCTCTATAGTCACCATTAAACAGAGTAGGTCCAAGTCCAGAAAATCCACACAGCGTTTCCTGAATTCATTCAAGAATGTTGTTTATCTTCCATTTTTCCCCAAAGGTCTTTGTCCGGCCGAATTGTCGGAGGGGTGTGGTGGTTTTTCACCCTCATCATCATCTCATCCTATACAGCCAACCTGGCAGCTTTCCTTACTGTGGAGAGGATGGTGTCCCCTATAGAGAGTGCAGAAGACCTGGCAAAGCAGACTGAGATCGCCTATGGTACCCTTGATGGAGGTTCTACCAAAGAGTTCTTTAGGGTGACTGAGCATGTTCATTCCTGATACCTGCGTTTTGTTACACATGGTTCAACACTTCACTCTCTTTGCAAAACATTACTTACTTTACTTTGGTGCTGTAGATGTAAAATTGAATTAGTCTTAAAGTCTAATGTTATTAAGAATTTAATGTTAGTTATATCTTTAGGCGGGGGTTGTACATTTTAATAGAATTTTCCTCTTATAGCATTTGTAAAAGAAAATCAGCATTGCCATCAGTTAATAAGAACTAATTTGTCAAATGCAAAAGGGTTTTTGGAAAAGTAATTTTAAGCCATTCCTTTAACGCAGAGGCTTTGAATTTTGTTGAACTACGGAAGAAAGAGACCATTTAGATTATTTTGTACTTTCTTAAGTCTTGCCCCAGTAAAACCTGAGGCAAGATTACCATGTGAAAACCGGTGTGATTTTGCTTTGAATTGTTTTTTTATGGCATGAAATTAGGACTTAATATGGTCCAGAAACTCGTGTTTCCAGTTCCATTTTAATCAAATTAGATTCTGTGCTGTGATGAAGTTTAAAAAAAGGGAAAACCTGTCAAATTGAGTTTTTATTAACTTAGCCTCATTCTGTCTTTGCTCTCCACTCCTTCAGAGGTCTAAGATCGCTGTGTTTGAGAAGATGTGGTCATACATGCGCAGTGCAGACCCATCAGTGTTTGTGAAGAATACCAATGAGGGTGTAATACGCGTCAGAAAGTCAAAGGGGAAGTATGCCTACCTACTAGAATCCTCCATGAATGAATACATTGAGCAGAGGAAACCCTGCGACACCATGAAAGTAGGAGGAAACCTCGATTCTAAGGGTTATGGTGTGGCCACTCCCAAAGGATCGCCTCTCAGGTACACTCTAAGTGTCCACTTAGTGAACACCAGCATGGGATTACTTATTTTTGTTATTTATTTGTTGAAAACAAATAAAAAGAGAGTGGGATATGAAATATTTGTTGAATACAAATATCCATTTCTGACAAATGAATCTTTGCACAGTTATACACACAATAACAACTCAAAACAACTTTACAGTACTATCTAGTGTTTAAAAGATGAAGCATAGCATGTTTAGTCATAAAATGTGCAATAATGTTTTTTTAACTCATTTTAAGTCTATTTTCTAGCTAGAAATAACAAAAAATAGAATCATGAAATTAAAAATGATTTAAGACCTAAATGTGTAATTTCTCTAGACACTCTTTGTTAACAAATTATTAACCCAGACGCCTGACTGTAAAATATCCTGTTACATTAGATAGTTCTAGGAATCAACTTAAATAAACTATGTGTTTATTTAAACCTGATGTGCTCCTTAAACCTTATGAGCATAAGGGGAATTTATATTGAGAGTTATTTTTATTTTTTAACAACTACATTAAAGCTAAACTGTTTAAATCATTAAAAAATATGTTTGTTTTGTTTTGTTTTTTTGTTTTTTAACATTCTGACACTGTTAGTAATCATTTAAGAAAAAAATTGTTTTAATCACTACAAAAATGTTAGTGTGAAACAAAAACACAAATTCTGTAAGTATAAAAATATATACTCCATTATTACAATTAATTCGGGAGTTTCCAACAGTTCAATGACAGCTTGTAGATACCTAATGTTTCCAAGAGCATTAAGAAAGAAAAGAAAATGAAGAAAAAAAAAGAGGAGAAAGAAAGGAAAGTCTTTCTTAGCAAGGGGAAGGTATAATGTCTTTCTTTCTGTCTTATTAATCTTTCCTTTTCCTACTCTTTATTTTATATAAAAAGTTAAAACAGTAACTGAGTCATGCACACACAGAACAGCATTTTAGACGTGCAACTGATTTGAATTGTCAGAAACTGGATGATTTGCATTGGAAGTAATTGAGGATGTCAGTTTGGGGGGAGGGGTTGACTTGTTTACTGTCATATGTTCGTCTATCTGTCTGTCTCTTAATCTGTCTCTCTGTGTGTCTTGTTTCTTCTCTTTTGTCTTTGTCCGCATGTCTGTCAGACTGTCTGTCCCTTATTTGCTATGCCTGTCTTACTGCTACCGGCTCGTATGCCTTTACATGTACCAAAACAAGAAGAATGTCCCTCAGTCATAATCATTGTCTGCATCTACCTGTCCAAATCTTTCTGCTGCTGTCAGGTAACATGATGAGCTTGAGCTTCTTTGAATTTTAATCTGATGAAAAATTGACTCAAATTATGATGGACTGCTCTGTGCAGATATTATCTAAGGGAAACAAGTTCAGGTGGGTAAATTTACAATCACTCTAACTTAAAAATAAATGACAAAGACTGCAGTGTGGATAATGATAAACAGTGTAGGTTGAGGAAAGCTAAGACATAAAATAAATGAATTGAGATGTATGCCAAATATGTTTTATGACCTTAATGTAGACAAAAGCCTGAAAACAACATGGTGAGTAAAAGGCTCTAATGATGATAGTTGACAAAAATCTACAAGTACAGTAGTGTGCAAGAAGACTAGGTCACACAAAAAAGGCGAGATGTAAGACAAGGAACTTGCAGAAGGAAACTGAAATTGAGGAGCAAAATTAATGATGAAAGTCTCAGCTGAGGCCATGAGCATAATAAGGCCAGAATGAACTGCTGTGGAGAAGAGTAGAGACAGAGAGACTGATGCACACACACAGATTAAACATGAGAAGTTTTGCTGCTACACCATAGGAACCACAAATTCTAAAAAGGTGTTAGTAAGCTTTTAGAAATACGGGTGGCATAAATTTAGCACAATATCACATACAACATAATAGTATTCCAGAATCTAGTCTAAATGTTTCTGTAAACAGTTGTTCAGTGATAAATGTAGAAGTAAGTCAAATATGTTAATGTTAAAGAGTAACTGGTTTAACCAATGTGTGCAATATGCATAATAATGAATGTAATTCCTTTCTTAACAATTGTCTTAGTATATTATTCATCTGAGAGTACACCAAATGAATTTGGAGAACACAGCTTAAAATTATATGGGGCTTTAAACTATAAGAGAAAAAATGAACCAGCAACCATTTTTTGCAGTTTTGTTTGTTCCACTGCTTTTCAAAATGCAACACAGATCTGCCTACAGGAAGGTGTTTTGTTCAAGGTGACAAAGCACACCTGGGGGCTGTGTTGGATCAATACTGGATCACATTCTGTTCCTCCATATTGTCTCATTATGGTTGTTTTGCTCTGAACCTTATTGCAAATTGTGTGCTCACATCTATCCAAAAAGATTACACAGAAGTGAAACAAACCATATTTTAAATGGTCTATACACCTCAGAAATGAGCACACCTAATTGACTGTCGTGTCACTTAAATATTGTTCATCCCTATAGAGTTATGATGTATAATGATCAATTGAATTGATTGGAATTGCAGTTCCATGTACAAAGATGCACACATAACTTAATTATTTGAGTGAGAATGAGAACATGCATGAGGGGAGGAGTGTAGCAGTATACAGAGATGGTGCTTACGTAATATGCAAATATTGTTTGTCGTCTGAGTATGATGTAATATTACCCTCTAATGGTTTCTACAGTAGTACAGCCATTAAAGTGGAACAGTTGGACTTGCGTCATTTGAAGTAATCAACTTGTTGGCAAACAAAAGGAAACTAATCTGAATCTATCCTTTTGAGTTAGAAGACTGATAAATCAAGGAAAATTAAATCCCATAAAAAAATCTCCTGCATCTGTGATGGCTTCGTAAATATGGGAGTATCATTGCTTCAGGTATCTTTGCTGTCCCCCTTCCCTCATCAATGGTTTTCTGCCTCTGCATCCTAAGTTTATTCTTATGGCAGAAATGAAAGCAATGGTGTTTTCTGAGGTTTCCAACCGTGCTGTAGCACAATTCAAGCCTTTTCTCTTTTTTAAAAAGGGCTTAAAAACGCATAATGTCCGATGTTTAGAATTAACTTAAATTGCAAATCTTCCTAAAACAGAAAACAAGATAATTACCAAGTGTCGTTGGAATATAAACATCCTCATTAATTTAGCACTATAGGAGTGTCTCCTCACATAGATCAATCCAGGGTTTTTCTGCACTTTGATGCTGATTGCTTTCTTTTATTTGATTTTACTAAATACAATGGAACAAAACTCAAAGTTAGAGAAATATTACTGAAACTTTAATCTATGTTTTTACCTGACAGCAGAATTTGAAAGATTTATTTCTCTTCTTTGTGTTAGACTATAATGAAAAATGTATCAAATCTTTTGTGCTGCTCTTATCATTTCTACCTCACGTCAGCGTTTTCATATGGAAGCCAGAGTCAGAAACACAAACACTTCACAGAGGAGACCGCTGCACTCTGAATGCAATCATTTGTTCCTTTGTGTTTGAAAATACTCAATCAGGGAATTTTTGTCTGGAGATTTTGGTCTTTGTTTTGTTTTTCTCTTTTTTGGGTAAAAAAAGTAATAAAAGAGGCAGATTCTGAGATCGTTGCTAAGCAACACAGTCGGGTTAAAGTACTTGCATGCTGAGCATTTATTTTCATCAACTTCACTCATCAAAAGCATTAGCTCTGTGTGAAGAATCGATCCTGTCTCTGGCTATTAACTGTTCTCATGGTGATACATAAACACATCCTCTTTCATTTTTATGTATGAGGACATAAAAAAAAAAACATCTTGTATTTATCAGGTTGTGAAGTTAAAAGAAAGAAGACCTCAGAAAAGCAATAAAGCATTAATAAGTAATTCCTGACAAAGATGTTCAGAATTCACATGCTGAAATTTACTGATGATAAACATTTTTTCTAAAAGCTGCAAAGTAATGGCAGGAGTTTTAAGCAATGGGTGATTTCGACTATAGCTCCCTATAGAAATAAAAACTAAGTATTATTTCAGAACTGTCAAATTTTGACAGTTGCCATGCTGATTTAAAGATGATGTGATTAATGACATGATTTATGCCTTGATTTGTAGGGATTGGAACTGTCATTCATAGTGGAGCCCAACGGATTAAGCAGCTGGTTGATTTATCGGGACGATTTTAGGGTCTGGGTCGTTTATAAACATTGGCCAAAATCTGGCTGTTATAAAATTCTATTTTAGCTGCAAACAGCTTAAAGAAACTTGGTGATGTGCTGATTCTGCACTTTTTCATTATGTTGCCTTTTTTTTTTTTTTGACTTTTCAGTTACACTTTGAATCATGTTTTTCTATTTTCTTTTCTCATGTATTGTTTTCATTTCCATTTTGTGTTATTTTCTGGTTATATTTGAGTTCTTATGTATTTCTTGTTTACCCTCTGTTGCCCTTATTGTATCAGTCTCCTTCCACTAGCTCCCTTCTAGATCCTTCTGTCCACACCAGATTCCAATCAGTTAATTTTCCCAGTCTTTGTTTTGTTTGACATTTATACTCCTCCTCTTCAGTCACTTCTTGGCTCCCTATGTGTGTTTTCCCTGACGTCTCTTTGATTTTGGTTTTTCTGTATTTTGTTGGTGGAGTTTTGCTTCTGTTGCTCTTTGGATAACTTAATCTGCAAGAAACCACCTCAGCTTCCATCTCTGTATTTGGGTCCTAAAAACCTCCACACAACCTGACATGCTGAACTGCCACCATGCCTCCCCTCCTGTCATTGAGCTCTCTCTGCACCGCCCCTCCCCAAAAACACACACGCAAACACAGCTGCTTTTAGCATAAGCATGGAGTTGGACGGAGAGGTAGAGTGCATGCAGTTTACACCATAATAAGCCTTGATTTTGTAAAACTACACTAAAGTGCCCCATGACAACAAACATCTTCATTGAAGGATGCTGTTCAGGTGCAGTAAGAGAGCAAGTTTAATATATATACTACTTATGGCAAACATATTAGAATTTTAATTCCTTGTAACGAAATAAATATAATTTTAGAAGGAAAATAAGATTATTATATTGTGTACCACTACACTTCATACTGACAATCAGGCTGCACTAGGGCTCATAAATTCAGAAGTTAATGTTTTCACTAATACTTTTTTAAAAGGCTCCAACTTGTATTGTATTTAATTGTAATCCTGTTTGGATGTTTTAAAAGCTGCAGTATTACTACTTAAATCTAGTTTAGTCCCTTCTGTTCAATGAAGAAGGGAACGTTTCAGGTCCCTGTAAATATGACAATATGTCTTAAAAATTAATCAGATACAAAACAACTTTCATTAGCCTGTGTATTTTCACTTTACGCTGTATGCAGCCACTTCTTTTCATTTTAAAATGCTCATCTGTAGAGCTGAAATCTAATTAGTAATATATACTAAATGTATATATATTCATTTCACAGGCAGAGGGGAAAGGTCAGGTATGGAGCCATGTAACAGGTGTTGAATGCAGCATCTGCAGTGTTAGCGTTAGTCAGGGCTCCAGCACCAGTATAGCAAAAAACACCACACATTTGAGGCAATAACTAAATCAGCACCACAAAAAAATACCTTATTTATAGTGTTATGGTTACACTGCTCAAATTAAAGTTGCTTATTTTAATTCTATAGTTCTATCTTCCGTTTGTTTTTTTCTTGAATCATATTTCTGGTTATTATGACAATTAGAGCTTGACTGTAGTGTGACAGTGTAAATCCTATGTAAGCTCATGTTTTATTGTTTTTTTTTTTTTAAATACTCTGGCCAATGAATATCAAATATCGACCAATATCTGATATCGTTATTTTTTTTAAGCCCCTGTTTTTTTAAAGCCTCCAATATCAGCATCAGCCCTCAAACTCCCATATTGGTTGGGCTCTAATTAATAGGCTGACATGTTTGAACTATTTATTTAGAATATGCTGATGAAGGTTCCCAGTCATCCAGGTCATAGTCATTCCGTAAAAATTCAAAAAATATCCACTGGACTTGGTTTCCAAACTAGACTCACTGCGGATCCAGACATTTGAATTGAGAAAGCTTCCTGGAGAGGTGGCGAAACGTCTTCAAATCTTGGAAACCAAGTCCAGTGGATATTTTTTGAATTTTTACGGAATATTTATTTAGAAGCTTTAACCTCTACCATTGCTACGCTACCAAAATAATGAGCAGTGTTTGCTGTAAGCTGAGACTCAGCACTTTCTGACC